AGAGAAGAGCAGCCCACGGTGGGGCACAGACAAGTCCCTAAGCTGCTGGCCTGTCCTCTCAGAGAAGAGCAGCCCACGGTGGGGCGCGCTTCCGTGACTGTTCAGGAAAGCACTTTTCTCTTGACCTCCCAAGGGTAAGGAGAGGACCAGCCTTAGCTCTCCAGTGCCTCCCAAAGCTGGTTTTGGAGCTGCCAGGGCTCCCACGGTTTTCCACAGCCTGCGTGGATAGCCCCACCTCTTCCGGTCTCCAGAAGCATGAGAAGAACGTCTGCCGTTCACAGCCAGGCCGAGCTGCTGGCTCGCTTCGCAGAACTACGGTTGCGTTTTCAAAGGGGCCACTTGAGATGAAGGACATGCTTGTAAACTGTGAGGCGCTACAGTGTCCAGGATCCCCACGTCGGCCCAGTCCCAGCGACAGGGCCCACCCCAGCGTAAACCCCTGCAGAAACTTTACAAAAGGCTTAAGTTACCAAAGCTAAACAAGGCCCTGACAGTATGGCCCTGGCCAGACACGCCACCATGAGATAAGTAGGATGGCCTCCAGGGCGTCCCGTGTGAGGAGAAAGGGCTCAAGACCTCAGGCATGGCCCATCGAAGCGTCCATCCTGGCATTCACCAGTCACATGACACCCTAAAGGCCACTTGGGGGTGCAGTCTAGCCTCCTCTTGGACAGAGCAGGATGCTCTGAGTCTCTAGGTCTGTGTCTTCTCCAGGCCAGAGGCAGTAAGCATGCCCGCACACCACAGGTAAAATATATTACTGCGATATTATGTACAAAATATGTACATGGTCATTAGGCTTACTTCGTGTTCCTTACTACTGACATGGAAGCAGAATGTCTTCCTGTACGAGGCCCAGTGGCTACTTGCAGAGATCCCCTGGAGGTATTTAGTAGAATGACCTTCTTCAGAGCTATCTGAAGGTTTGGGGCCGGTAAACGGGTGTCCTTCTTACCCCACCCATGAAGACTGCACCAAGAAGCAGCTCATCTTGTCCATCCACTCAAGAGATGTGAAGTCAGAAAAGACACACCAGTTCCCCGGGCTCTTCGAGATGAGTGGACTGGCTGTGTTTCCCTTGAGGGGGGCACTCTGGATGCCTCACGTGGAGCTATCAGTAACTTGTAGAGTCCTGAAGGGCCTGGACTCCAGGCTTGGGGGGCGGGGGGGGGGGGAGATGGGCAATAAATAAGGGCCTGAGAGGCCCAAAGAAATTTGCTGAGGGGCTCAGGCTTCAGCTCCATGGGGAGCAGATGGAGGAGTCGGACGCGGACAGTCACTGGGCCTTGGGCCCGCCCCTTTCCCAACAGTCTTGTAACAGTCTTGTGAGGCGGGTGGGATGGAGCTCCAGGTTCTGGGCCAGCGAGATCCCATCCCCTCTGTCCCAGGAAGGAGCGCCCTGAAGAAAGCTCCTGTCAAGGACAGTGCCCAGGGCTCAGATCTCCATCAGCGTGATCTTGAAGCCTTCCACCATGCTCTCCATGTTGAGGATGAAGGTGTCTTCATTTGAATAGTGCTCAATGATGTTGTCGTCCATGTTCACCAGGATGCTGTCACAGTTGGGGGAGATGGGGGGGAGACAAAGCCAGTGAACAGGGGGCTCGGTGCAGGAACACCCTTCAGGCTGGGTGTCCCTAACCGTCTACTTCCCTCCCCTAAAACAGAAACCTTCTCGTTCCTCAGAGCCTCAGTTTCCCTGAACTACCCTTACAATTTCTTATTAAACAGGGCTTCTGAGATCTTTTGGCCCAACCGTTCCGCCTCAGAGAAGTTAGCCGAGAGCCAAACAATTGTTGGCTACTGAACCACAGCCCACATAGTTCGGACCCTAAGGATTTTGATTGCGAACCTCAGCTGCCCTTGACCGCACACATGCGTGCAGGAAAGACAGTGCACACGGCTTCGAGACAAGCTTCATCGTCAGTAATTTGCAAGTAAGAAACAACCCAGCCAGTGAGGCCTAGGCGAGGTCGAAAGCCGGCTTTGCCTTCCCCCTGCAAGCCACCCACCCCTCCTCCCCTGCCTGCCCCACGGTGGTGTTTGCCTGAAAGTATGTATGTGTACCATATGTGTGCGTGACGTTCGGAAGAGGCCATTTAATCACCCGGGACTAGAATGGCGGACGGACGGTGTGAGCCACCGTGTGGGTGCTGAAAACTGAACCAGGGTCCTGTGGAGGAGCCACAGGTGCGCCTGACCAGGAAGCCACCCTCCAGCACCCCTCCGTGACTCTCCTTCCTGTCAGTTTGGGAAGGAACAACTGACTGAATTGTTTTATAGGGCTGCCCGCTTTGCCTGTCCTGGCATCAGCTTCTTCCTTTACAAACGTAAGCACGACCCACGCTTAGTGTGTTCTGTTAGGACACAAGCCTGTGCACAGGCCTTCACAGTGAGGCGCTCTAGCCATCAGGACTTGAGGCACCACTCAGAGTCTCCCCAGTCCACTGTATTGAAAAAAATTGCAGCACACATTCATTGAGTTCCCAGCAAGAGCTCAAGTTCGATGCTCAGTCAGCCAAAGGCTCCAAATTCAGACAGTCCGGGAATCCCAGGTCATGTTGCCCTAGTGAGGGGTCAGAGGGAGCCCTGGGGGCCTTAAAAGGGGCAGAGGTGAATGGCCTCCTGAGTCTCGGACCATAGGCCCCGCTCTCCAACCTGTGTTCTGTTTACTGAACGTGAGACCTGGAGTGAAATGCTGAAGCGGCCTGCTTACTGTAAGCTCATGGATTAGTGAGGGGAAACAGGGAGACAGATGAATCACTGGGCAGGGAACCCACAGTCCCCTGACCACCCAACCAGGAAGGACAAACAGGTCCCACGGCCATCTGAGAAGATTCCATGAATGATTACCTTGGAATAATTTCCGATATCCTCAACAAATTATTGTCCCTACTGGGTCACTCAGGAGCCAACGTCAAGAGGGGTGACCCCTTCACTTTCCACTGTGTCCCCACCACCTCTCTATCCCTCTGGTCCACTCGTCACGCTGTCTACAGGTGCATCTCAGGGGACATCCTGGCGGTGCACTGTGGGTCTCTCTGCCTCAGTCACTAAAGACCTTTAACCGGCATCGTGGGCCCCGGAGGTAACAAGAGGTAAAGAAAGTACCATTTTAAACTGCACCCTGCAGACATGGAAGCTAGCCGAGGTTAGCTCTTCCTTACCCCTTTTTGCTCTTCTTATAAAGCTTTGTGATTTTCTCCACAGGCAGCCCATACTTCTCAGACAGCTGAAAGAGGAATAACAGGGAAGCTGGTCAGCAGGGGAAGCAATGTGGAACATTCCAGTTCAACTCTCACGTTGCCCTGAGCCCGGACAGTCTCCCCTCATGAGACAAGGTGGAAAATCTCATTAATAAGGAACAAAAGGCCTCATTTTCCCTGAACCACCCAAGCTGCTGGCTTTATAGGTTAGTAAAATGAGGTTTCTAGAAGTGAATGGAGCTCCAGATCAGAGTTAGCAACTGATAGGGTCACAACCTAACTACTATGTCCCCGACTGCTTCCATCAAGTCCCATGTTCTCGGTCCTTGGCAGGAAGAGAAAAGAAACAAGAATTGCAGATCATGATGTGAGCACACAGCCTGCGAGTGTGTCAGTTTGTGTCTAATACCACCCTGTTTTTATTCTCTTTGGACAGATCACTCACCCAAACAAGCTTGAAAATTGATTATCGGCATTTCCAATTGGTTTAAAAAACAAAAAAAGCTTCTAATCACAATGTTGGGTTAAATAGGTAGCCATACCTCAAACCAGATTTCAAGTGAGCCTGCCAGGTATAGTGGCACACACCTGTAACCCCAGCACTAGGGCAGACTATCACGTGAGCTATGTAGTACGCTCCAGGCCAGCATCAATAGGTAGTCAGAAAAAAGGTTCAGGTGGATAAAAGATTTATATACGAAGGATGAGACCATAAAAGTTCAGGAAAAAAATAAACATGAATTAATTCTTTATACAAAGTATAAAGTACAGTTTTCTAGGGAGACATGAAACCTGTAAAAAACGTTAAATATTAATAACAATGTAGAATATGAAAATACCAGTAGGTCAAAACCCACCACAAATAAATAAATAAATAAATAAATAAATAAATAAATAAATAAATAAATAAATAAATAAATAACAAGCTGGGAAGCATTTTAAAATACAAATAGCAGACACACTGCAAACTGCTGGAAGTTAAAAAGAACTGGGCGGGGAGCTGGGTAGGGGAGAAAACACAATGCATTTCAGAGAAGAAAAATCTTGGGTACTAAACATATGAAAACTGTACTGCACTTTTATTTACATTTTTCAAATGAAAAAAATAGTAGGATAGTACTTTTAAGTTATCAAACTATCAAAAACGCAAATGAGAGACCAGAGAGGCAGCTCAGAAGGTTAAAAAAAAAGATTTTCTGCTTTTGGCCCACAGCTCCAGGGAATCTGACGCCCTCTTCTGGCTCACGTGAGTACCTGCACACACACACACACACACACACACACACACACACACACACACACACACACGGCAGACACACTGACACATTAAAAACAAACCTAAAACCAAACCAAAATGAAGTGATAATCTAACACTGGTCAGAGTGTGAGGACAGCGGTGTTCAGGTTCTGTGGACGGGACAGGGAAGCACAGCCTCCTGGGAAAGAAGTCTGGCAGAGCATGAAGTTTTTAAAAGCACATGTGTTCTGAGCCACAGACTTCATGTCTAGCAATCTGATACACAGAAATATTCTCATACTCAGAGATGTTCTGAATATCACTGTTCATAATAGAGAACATTTCTTAACGCCCATAAATATCTTGATATTTTCTTCAGATTGCATTTAAAAAATATGAAAAGCTTATATTGCTTATCATATTAGGTGGGGCAAATCAGTGGAAATTTGTCTATATAGCATAATCTTGTCTGCATTTTAAACCTTTGTGTATGTTTACATGTACAGAAAATATTTAAATGACATGTTGAATCCACTAATGGCGGCTCCAGTTGATAAATGTTGGATTCAAGCTCCCTCTATTTTGTATAATCTGTAGTGCTCATTTTCACGACTGTAATCTGTAGTGCTCATTTTCACGACTGTAATCTGTAGTGCTCATTTTCACGACTGTAATCTGTAGTGCTCATTTTCACGACTATAATCTGTAGTGCTCATTTTCACGACTGTAATCTGTAGTGCTCATTTTCACGACTGTGTCATTTTTTTAAGTGCAAAGTGGCAAGAGCTGAAAGATGCATTCTGGGAAGATCAGTTCCAAATATGCGCCATGCCCTTCACTACGAAATGACTAGTGGCTCACAGGCCGCGGAGGCAGGGGAGGTTTGGGGCCACACTTAGAGAGGACAGCACAGGCTAGAAGTGGGCTGAAGAGCCTGAGGAGGGAGCTGGCATCCTGAGAAGAGTTTGTTCCAGAGAACCCTAGTTCCTACCCTTCCGTTCCCACTGCAGGGCAGAAAGAACTCTTCACCCTCCATATACCCAGAAGCAAGACATCTGGGCTGAGGACAGAGAGGTAGGCGGTAAAGGCAGCCTGGGTAAGCAGCCACCTGGTGGTGCTGATGAGAATAAGTCGGAATGAACAAAACGTTTTTTAAAAGAACAAAAGCAGCACGCTTCTTGGTGAGTGAGATGGCTCATGGGTAAGGGCCCTTGCTACCAAGCTTGACAACCTGAGTTCAGCCCCCCGAAACGACAAGGTGCAAGGCGAGAACTCTGACTAGAGAGTTGTTCGCTGACTTCCACGTGCGCCATGTTAATAAACGGAAAGAAAAACCTTCCTAACGGGAGCACGGAGGCGGCAAAGCCCACTGACAGACCCTGTGTTCGAAACACTCATCCGAAGAGAATGTAAACGAATGAACAGGCAGAGAAAATGCAAAGCCGATGAACAGGAGCAAAGCCGATGAACAGGAGCAAAGCTGATGATCAGGAGCAAAGCCGATGAACAGGAGCACGATGCCGTGAGAAGCAGAAGCTAAGAGAACGGCCATCAGGAAACTGTGTCCCCACAGCTCAGCACCGGGGCAAACAGTTTCAGAATTGGCGAAACCTTGTAGAAAAATCAGAATGCCTTGATTGATCATGGCATATCCCACCTCCCAAAGAGACTCTGTCATGTAGTAGGTAACAAAGACAGGCCACACTGGACCATAGTTCAATAAAACGGGAAATTAAACTTGAGAAGTTCATCAGAAATGTTTTGCCTCTCAGAAGTCCTCCACTCTTCTCTCTTCCTCCCACTGAGGCCCCTACACTATTTGTCAAGCCTCCTGGTGTCCATATTTGCATATGCAAATCAAGAGGGAGCCACTGGTTTTGGCTAGGTTGGTAGGGTGCTTGCCTAGCATGCACAAGGCCCTGGATTTGATCCCCAGGAGTGCATAAATTGGGTGTGGTGGTGCACACTTGTAGTCTCAGCACTCTGGGTCATCCTCTGCTACACAGCAAGTTCTGAAGCCAGCCTGGGCTGCATGAGACCCAGAGAGGGAGGGAGGGAGCCAGTAAGGTGAACTAGTTCTGTCCTTTGGGTTCTGAGTTGAATTGAGTTCTTGCTGAAGCAATGACGTTCTCGAGTGGCCTAACTTCCTTACTCATTCCCTGGGGTTCTAGAACCACTCACTGAGCAGAACCAGCCCACAGAAACTACCTGAGAGCGGCCAGCTTCCACAGTATTTCTGGAGTTATTTCCCCAGGTGGCTGGCCAAAGCCACAGCTTCCGACTGTTGGCAGGCCCTCAGAGGGTGTGGACAGGAGCTTAGGTGGGGGAGCATCCAAGCAGGCACTCCAGGGGGGTGGACAGGAAGTGACCTCAAGGTTGTCCTGACCTCCACACAGGCCCCGGTCATGCTCACACGTGAAAATACACTCTTGTGCACGCACAAAAACACACAGATTTGTTTTTTTTAAGCGAGCATACCGCCTGTAACAGAGCTACCCCACACCCTGTCACGTGGCCTGACTCACAGGCTGTAGGAAATCCATGTGGCTACAGAAACAGCCGCCACCCCCAATCTGTTCATGAATCTGCCTGACGTGGCACCTGACTCAAATGTCAATTCACACCTGAAGGAAGGATGGGAATACTGTTCTATTCTGTCTAGATGACAAAGCCACATTTCATCACTGTTATTGAAGAAAAAGAATTTTTAAAAAGACTGCAAGAAAAAAAGAAGACACATGACATGAAAGAGGAAGAGACTGCGGGAGATTGCCAAGGAAGATGGGACAGGAAGTGTGGGAGCCACTGAGGGAGGAAATCAGCTAAACCTTGCTTTGTTCAAAACTGCTATAGCATCTACCGCCTTGGGTGCTAGTGCCAGAAGTGCAATAAAGTACGTAAAAGGCTTTTGAAAGGCCTTTGTACTCCGGTATACATTTTCTTCTTATATTCTAGTAATTTACAGCTGATTGGAAATGGGGAATCTGGACGGGGAAATGGGAGCCCGCTCTCTATGGAGGGCAGCCCAGTCTTCAGCCGTGGGTCAGCACATCACCCAGGGTCTGTCTCTGCTTCCTAGGAATGTTTAGCTAGGTGATGCCGGGGCCATCCTTCTCATATAGCTCATCCAGAAACGTAGTGAACAGTGGGAACGCTGGCTGTCAGGCAGACGGCCCTGTCTCAGAAGTGACTGCAGGACAGACACACAGACCTGATGGGTCATACTTTGACTCTTGGAGTTGTGAGTCTGCTGGCTCTGGATGACTGAGTTCCTTTATCAACAGAGACAGCGGTTGGTCTTCCTAAACTACTAGTGGCCAACGGAGGGGGTGCCCCAGGCCAGGCCGATTCTACATCCACAGGGGCACGCTTAGGAAATAGTTTATGGGGCCATTACTTGGTTTAAATATATATATATTTTAAATACATATATATACATATATATATATATACATATATATATATATATATATATAAATATCTGGCTCCCCATAATGTATGATGAGGGGGGCTATTTCTACTCTAAGGGAATAGCTGTTAGGGAAGAACAGGGCCAGTTCAGGTGAGGCTACACACCAGGTCAACACTCCCAAACACTTGTGTTCAAGCAGGGAGCCTACTACTTCTGCTGGTCCTCAGCCACTCCTGGGGAGTCTGCCGGGAGGGGCACAGGGGCTGGATGCAAAGGCTGTGACTGGGCTCTGAGTGGGCACCTTTGAAACACTTACAGGAGTGAGGCTCCACGGTGTTCCTGGTAGGGGGTGGGGCCGCCTGTGCCCGCAGGAAATCCTTCTCAAGTGACAGAGTCAAAGGCGGCTTGGCAAGCACTATATCTCTTAACAAAGTTACTTCAGAAGTAGTTTTTCTCCTCACTTGACGCTCAGGCTATCTATCCACAAGGAACTTTTAGTTGTCACCAAAATTACAAATAAATAAACTTTAAATGACAGCATTATTCTGAAACTGAGTCAAAACAAAATATGAAGGTAAAGAGTCATAATGCTGTCTTGTTTTGGGGGCTCGCTTTCTGTGGGACGCTGGACTGGGAGACATAATGCCTACCCCTCAGAGCAGGTGTCTTCTCTGGCTCAGGAGCTTGGAGGAGACCCTGGCACCATTCATTCCCCCAGCCCCTGCACTGGCACACATTTCACATGAGTAGGTTACTATACCATGGGTTTGTCATCCATCCTTTTGGACAGTGAGCACTGAGAA